ATCTGAATTTTTTCAGTGTAACTGCCAGTAAAATATCTGATATTCAGAACAATACATAGGGGCACATACCTTAGTTTTTCAACAAGGCACAGACTGAATCTATATGGTATATAAATTAACAAGATTATGAATCTGACCAAACAGTAGATGCCACATTTCAGTCAGTCATGACTCAAAAACACTGAGGCACCAGCACACAGAACTACACAACATTAAAACCATTTGTATCATATTTGATACACGAGTTTCTGAGCAAAAAAAAAAAAAAAAAAATCGCCACATGTATCACATGTGATAAAAAACAAAAAAATAAAAATAATCTAAATAATATGGCACATCTATTCCTATATGCCTGGACTGTCTGTCTATGCATATGCGGCAAATAAAAATCTTAAATCTTGAATTTTCTTTTGGATTTTGTGAAAAGGTTTACTAAACATCTCAGTTCCAAAAAATTAGAAGGCTCTGGTTATTTTTTGATGTGTCAGGCTTTACAGGGTTAAGGGGATAATACAGTGAACTATGTGTAGACTGGTGACAGTCACTGAACGTCCCTGTAACTGTAGCAACACAAATATGTGCATCCATCAAGAACAACTTGTCTTGCATTGTGCAGCAAAAAAGGCAAAGAAACTGAGGAAAAAGCTTAATTTTGCATGGAAAATCTGAGCTAAGACACCTTTAATTTCAGCTGTGCTGCAGCTCTGACCATTTTACTCCAGAGTTTGTTCACTCTTCTCATGCAAATGTTGTCATAATTTTTTCTGCCCACGTGAAGGAGTTTATAGAGACTCCATTTGCAACAACTGGCAGTATCATCAGTAACACTTCCAGCATGACCTGTCACCATGATTATAGCAGGAGGATGTGACTCGTACAGCAGAACAAACGCCCCCAACACTGCCGTGAGCTAACCCTCAGAGCTACGGCTGGAATCCAACGAATGCAGCACGATGCGCTGCTCACACAAACTGTGAAGCCAAATATATGTGAGAGATGATGTAGAAAAGAGGAGATGTTTAGATATGACTGTTGAGGCCAGTCGAAGGGGCTGGTCAAGCCATCTGCTCTGTCAGTGTGGGTGCTGCCGTCCTGCACCGGCCAAGTCACCGTGTCCAGCACAAACTCAGAGGAAAATCCACAGGAATCTTTTCTGATCTCTTAACATCAACTCGGCTCTTCTGCTCCTGTAACCAAGCTCATTTATCAGTGACATACTCCTCATCACAGCACCTTCAAAACAGGTCCCATGTTTTATTTAAAGCTGCCATGACAAATGTTTTTAGATTAAAATGTGGATCACATGACTACCTGTAATTTAAGAAATTCCAAAACACATGCCCGTCACAACTTACAAATGGAAAAGGTGACCGTGCACCGACTAGTTTTGCTCAACCAACCAAAACTATTCAGTTTACAAAGATATAAAACAGAAAAAACAGCAACTCTGACATCCGAGAAGCTGGAACCACAGCATGTTTATATCATGTGCGTAATAAATGGTTGATGGTAAATGGGCAGCACTGACTTTTCACCTATTCTCACACACACCTACTCACCAACGGCAGCAAGCTGCCACGCTAGGTGGTGAACTAACATCAGTAGCAATTCAGGTTCAGTGTCTTACTCAGAGACATTCTGGCATGTGAACAGGAGGAGCTGCACGTCTCTGGCACGTCAAGCCGCTCTACCTGGAGGCGGAAAGCGGTCCAGCTGCACTGAGCTTAACATCTGGTTGGCAGAACTTTTGCTCAATATTTTTCTTCTGATTGTTTGATCCATGATTCATTTTATTAGAATGCTCCATTTAAAAATCTGGAATACTGTCAGTGTTTGCCTTACAGTAGACCATAACTCTGAATGCCTTAGCTGTACATTTCCACACAGCTAGTCTCACCAATGAAAACCTATCCATCATTCCCACAAACATAAAGTGGGGCTGTGACCTGTAGCCTCTTGTGAAAATCCTCTGAGTGTTTAGTGCAAAAGCCCCCAACCCCACCCCCATTAACACTGGGCAGTACAGCTCGCTGTTAATCTACTGTGGATTTCAGCCTATTTCCACTCTGCCCTAATTAGCCGGGTCCTGCTGGGGGCCTCAACTGGGGACAACACCATCGCTCCACTGTGTTGCTCCCATTGCTGTTCATCAACAAATTAAGCTCAAGGAAGAAATCCCTGGGTGCTTATGAAGTCATTCATCTGGAAGTGAGGCACCTGACATGAAACTCACTCATTCACATCTGGCTGCAACATTCAAACTTCAGACAACATGTACACCTGCCAACCTGTGCCACCGACAGCAAAGGAAAGTACAGCAGCAAGAGTTTAGACCTCCGGATGATGATATGTCAATGGCAGCACCTACAGGCAGGTTTAACATGTGTACCATTTATGATGTTCCCACAGTCTCTCAATTGTTATATTTTGCAAATATCAAATATAAAACCTGAAACAAGGTCACACTAGAAGTGCAGATTTGAGCCTGCTGTTGCTGCAGGTGGATAACTGGGTACCAGTGACTCTGTCTCTCCTTAATGCAAAGCAGTGAAGCTATGCCCTACACCAAATACAGCAAACGCCATGAAACACAGGTAAAATTTGGAGGTAGTATTACATCAATTCAGTGCTTCCTGCAGGTTTGTAAGGCAGTATCGAGAGCAGAAGGAGCACAGTCAATAACCACAACTAATAACTGTAAAGTGATTTATTTCTGCCTGCTATTCGGCGCTAGGTGAACAGGGCAGGCAGCACAACATTTGAAAAACTGTTGCAGGATGGCAGAATATCTTTCGCAATGTCAAACATGTTGGATTTGTTTTTGAATCAGTCTTCTCTTCCTGTCTGCAGCTCATCACATGATGCAACGCATTCCTGCTATTGGTTAATACAGTTTAGTGAGGAAAAGGGAGCGCTTGGTTTGATGCAAGGTATCTCCATACTAATGCAACCACGGCAGAATCATTGTCAGGTGAGATCGTACAGGGATCTGAATAAACGTCAGTCGCTCCTCCACAGGGTCACAGTGTTTTATCATGTGTAGTGGACTGCGCCGCTTTTACTGCTCCCATCTAACCATGCCAGAAAACACATGTGAGCAGTAAAACAGGGACGGGTCAGGACCAGAGAGAAATATAATTATGATTTGGAGAAGAAATGTTTTCAGTGCAAATACACAGCTCTGCTGTCCTACTGCTTATTTCAGTCAGCTCATAGGTAATGTTTCTGCGACTGTCAGGAACACAGGCTCCCTGACAGAAGCAGCGCAATGATTCTTTGATTACAGAGGATGTTTGTGTGTACGTGTTTGGCCTCTGTCCTTGGCAACATATCAACACACACACACTCTCTCACGTTAGGAGATGTCAATGACATCATTCATTTCCCTATGTTGTAACTGTAACCAGATAAAACCTGCTGTTCGTGGTGAAAAGCTCCATGTTCTGCATGTAAGCAACTCACTTTACCATTATCTTGTTACATCACAGCACAGACTTACTGACACGTTGTCTAACACACACTGAAAGTCCCTCTGTCATCATTACATGTATGTGTCGAGCAATAATGATGCTGATCAATATTTTAAAAATCTTTTGTGATGATATTTTCAGCCTATCGTCCAGCCCTAACTGTAGCTGTAACTTGATCACCATTCACAATAAATTCAGTTGAAAAATCCAAGCAGACAGGCCCTGGAAACATGACTTCACCATAACAGAGTCATGACTCATTACCCAGAATCCCACAGTCTAAGCAATGGGTAAATACTAAGTCACACTGGATGAAAATACTGTCTGTTCTTCCATTTCACACCGTTTCACACAATAACATATGAAACAGCATCACCTAAATAACATCTGTGTGACCTCCCATGACACAATAACGCTCACTCCCCTGACTCAGACCTGACTGGACAAACTTAAGTTCCCTTCTTAAGTTGATTTCAGGACACGCACACAAAAAAAAAAAACATGACAGCTGCTGGTAGATCCAATGATAACACTCACAACATAGGCAGTGAGTCATATCAAACTTCAGAGATCAAGGGACATAAGTTCAATAAGAAATGTGAATATTGGCCACAGCCATGACTTCATCTTTGGAAGCTGCTTGTATTCTCAAAAGGACCGTTTCACTTTACTGCAAATGAGATTAATAAAACCTCAGTGTTTAAAATTACATGCTGGCCTACTAACGCTGTCATCTGCTGTAGCGTTTCAGTTTCCACTAAAGGAACTTTCCCTGGGAAACAGGAACCTTCTAAAGATCTTAACCCCTCCACCTGCGTGTCCACAGGAGGAACCACTAGATTCTGTTCTGGGGCGTAGGTCTACTCACACAAAATGACTCGAATAAGGCACAGGGTGACCAAAACAAGATGCAAAATGACCACACAGATTCAAAACAACAAGGGCTCCTAAAACTACAAAGACACACAAAACATTATAAACACACACAAAATAACTGCAAGCAGAGAAAACTGGCCACTCCTGTGATGTTTGGCACTTCAGGTCTGGGGCTCTTGTTCCATTTTGTCATGTCAGTGCCCAGGGACCACTGTCTCATGGTCGGCCCGTGGGTGTTCTTATTAATGGTATCAGACCCCACTCCTGAGGCTACACAGTATCAGCTAGAGACTAAAGAGTGTGGTATAACCTGTCCATACCAGTTCTGAAACGCATCATTACACATGACTTGTTATAAACAGAGTATAACATAAAAACCCCGGTAGAGTCCTCTGAGCAGAGGAGCAGCGTGTGTTGGCCGAGTCGGTTCTTAACATTAATTCAGCCTAAAACAACACACTTCATACACCCCGTGGTACCTTAATGCCCTGGGAAAGGGCTGGCAGGCTGGTGGTGGATCAGGGACTCAAACCTGCTGTCAGCTAAGACCTTGTAACATACTAACACAATCGCTGAATGACTCACCGCATCTTTCTCCTCTCCGGCTCTCTCCTGCTGCTCCATGTTGCAGAATTTCCTCTTGTTTTTATTCTCCGTCCTCTTCATTTTTCACGTAACTGATAAAACACCCCTTCTCAGGGGGCTGGTCCGTTTTCTTGTGGCTGAATCCCCTCGGAAATGTCAGTTTGTTTGTTTTTGGCTAGCTCGACGTGTCAGCTCGGCTGGTGTCGACTACAGTGGCACCGCATTGCCAAAAAGAAATACATCGCTTGTTGATGCGGTTTCTTGAGTTGCGAGTCCACTCAGGAGTTTGCTCCAGCCAGCCATCCCTGGTCCGGCGCCAGTCCTGCGGCTGTGGCGAGCTATCTCAGAGCCTCGCCGCACCTTACAAGCCGACTCCACATCTGGAATTCCCGTTGTGACAAGCTGTCAATCAGCCCCGCAGCGCCGGCAGTCACTAGTGTCCCCTTGGAGACAATAAAAAGGTTTACGATCGTTCACAAGGACAGTTTACTGTTTGCAGGGTAACAATGATCCATGTCAATGCAACTTGCTAGTTAGTTGGTTGGTTCGTTAACTAGCAGCAGCTGTTAGCTCCCTAAGCTAGCTTGCTGCTGCTTGGCTATCTGAGCGGCTAGTCGGGTCGCCTGCTAGCGTTTACCTGCACAGAGGCACCGTGACATCCATGACAGGTCTGCCTTCACCCCTAACACGCCTCCAATTATTCCCGCCACACGTCTATGCGTTTAATCCGTCTCGGTGACTTATCCAGCCCTGGAAGTCCTTTTCACGCGTTCTTTCATCGGCAGATAAAAACAGAGCCTGGTGTTTAGACACCGGGTCGAGCTCTGTGTCACCGTAGGCACGGAACGGGTTCGGCTTAGCCTGTTTCCTGACTCAGTCACTGCAGTGTCGAGCTTGCAAAAACCAGGCTACTACTTCCGGTCAACATTTACCAGAATAAAAGCACCGCTTCGTCTCACTAGAGGGTGCAGAAACTGACTGAAAACCTTTGTAAACTGAAGGACAGAGTACTGATATCCAGATACACAACCAAACAAAAGACAACACCGTAAACATCCAG